TGTGTTAGTAAATAACCAAATCTAACTTTTTAGTTTGTCCAAGGTTGCAGAAGAAAGGAAGGCAACTGTAGCTAAATCAATGATAGATTGAGGCATGTTAAATGTTAAAAATCAACTGTTTCATGTTACGTATAAAAGTTACAAAAATTTCTAAGCCATGAAGTTAAAAATTTAAAATATATAACACTATAGATTGTTTGAATATTACATGGAAAATACAAGTTTATTCTATCTCTTGGTATAATTTTCTGTAACAGCTTGTTTCTTGTATAAATCTGTAATAAAATCCAAAAAATCATTCGTTAAAAACATTAATTTTATTTAATTAAAACAGAACAGAATTTTCAGTTTTTGAAAAATGATTTTATAATCATTTATGAAGAATAGAGGCAATAAAATAAAATGATTAAGACAGCAAATAAGGCATTTCTTTTCGTTTTCTTCAGGTCACTACCAGTATTTTCTGACATATTTAGCAATTTCTGAACTAGATAGCATTACAAACATTAAACAAATTTAAAATAAAAATGGTAATATATAATAAAAAGCAATTATTTTTAGATTTAATTAATTTTATATTCTGTACAGTCAAATTAAAAAATCTCGTAAATATATAAATATGTAGAGTACTATATAATTAATTATTAATGCTATTGCAAGGATCATTTAAATATTTAAATTATTTAAGATTAATACTTCATTTTAAAACATGTATTGACACAAGAATTTCTGACAAGTATTTTAAAGTTATTTTATTAATTACAAAAAAGCTCTGAAGTTTAATTTATAAACATTTATAATTTTTCTAGTGTTTGCTTGGGAAGCATATAGAAAAAACGTGGACGTCCACCTCCAGTCTGAACCTACAAGGGCTGAACTTTTGTATAAGGAGTTCGAAGTTAAAAAACAGGAATCTAAATGTAGAATAAAAGAAAATATTCTTGACAAATATGGTGGAGGTGAACATTTGCAAGTCCCTCCAAAGGAACTCATCTTTGGGCAATCGGAGGATTATGTAGAATATTCTCGGCATGGTGTCATTTTGAAAGGAACTGAGAAACCGGTAGTTCGATCTAAATATGAAGATGTTTTTATCAATAATCATACGGTAAGTAGGTCTGTTTTATATTTCAAATTACAGAAATACCTTTTACTTTTTCGTATAGAAAATTAAAATAAAATGTATCTGGAAATATTTTAAAATCATCTAATTAAATTATTGTTCATATATAGGCCTATACAAATTTCTTCTACAATTCATATCATCTTCAGCTCCTTTAACGATCTTCTTTAAATGATTTCGAAATGTTATTGGACTTCTTTGGATAAATTTAATTCATCACGTAGAACGTCTTTCCTCTTTTCATTCTCAAGTTTAATTTGTATCTTGTCTAAATTTCGGTCTTTGTTAGTTCCTTCTATAAACTAAACGTGAGGAAAGGAGCATGAACCATGATTTTTCACATAATTAGATAATTAAACAAGAACCTATTGTGCATGTANTAATAGGTCACCTTTTTATTGACATATTTAAAAAACCGTATTGTAAATTATTTTCGATTAAATCGAATTTCTATGTTTAGCAAAGATATTATCTAAATCCTTTCAAAAATTGAATTTCGAGAAAATAATCCCATTCGATTCACCGTTACAAATCACTCTACGTCACAGTTGTTGTCGAAGAGCTTATCACCAGCATTTATTGCAGAAAATCATAAAATACTCTTTGTAAGGTGATTAGTGTCAATTTGTCATCTCAAACTTTGAAGCTATTAGCAATTTATCTGGCATTCAAACATCACCAACTTAACAATACGACCTGACAATGCCAACTGATCTCAAACGTCTTGCAATTTATTTAATTATCAGTTAATCAAGCATAATCAGTTAGACAGTGGCATAAAATATCAATTTTACCTTATTTATTTTCATTATAAACATGTGAAAATAGAAAACAATAAATTTCTACTTTAAAAGCTACAAGAAATTATTCATTTTATTGATCATATGTAAATTTACTAATTTAATAAGCAGTCATGTTGAACTACTTTATAATTTCGTTAAATTCTTTTAATAAAAGCACTGACCATATGAAAAACGGGTGAAAATCCGACCGGATAAATGACTAAATTTATTACCGTGGTTAATTATTATTAAGGAATCTACAATAATGCTTATAACGTTCATTATGTAGCGGGCCCATAAAATGTAGACCATAACTTATAAGTCATACAATGTAACCTACTGAGGCTAATGTAATTTATTATTAACGAGGTTAATATGTAATATACATGTAATATAACTTCAGTAATAATTGTATATCTATATTGTATTTAACGTAATTAATAAACAAAACTCGCAATGTTTATCTAGGTTATCCGTTTTGTAACAATTTCTTTATAGAAACAGACCCGCATATTTTCATGTCACGTTACACGCAAAAATATCTAAGAAGTTTAATTATAACTTGTTCACAAGCATGAAACAGAACTAGAAATAGCATAAAGTTCTTAATTTCATATTAAGAACTTTTTAATACAAAAATTAGTCATTTGTTTATTTTTTTTTATATTGAATGAGTTAATCAAAACGACAAATTATTTAAATAAATAAGTTAAAAATCTACTTATGAAATTTATACATGGATTCAAATATAAATAGATTCAAGCTATAGATAGGAAATTACACCAGATCAATTCCAATACCTTAATACAGTTAGACAGATTTAATCTTTCTTGTTACAAAGTGGATTTTGCTAAAATGTTAACAGAGTTAGGAGGCATTTTCTTAGTTCAAAGAGCATCGAAGAAGAGATAAATTTTGAAATGGAATTTCTTTATAAATTTATGAGTTTCCTCAACGCTTCACATTTCAAACTGTTTACATTAAAATATTTTTTTATAGAAATATCTTTCAGATGCAGTGTAATCATTAACATTCTCAAGCAAAACTACTTAATCATAGTCTATAACGTTTACAAAATTGCAGTAGAATAATAAATATTAATTCAACATGCTTTAACTACTGTAAAAGATAAGCAAATCACCAGTTAATAATATAATTTCAATGCATATGTAAATGAAATATAAATAATACTTCAGTCACACCCGAGTTTATTACTATAATAACATAAGGCGTAGTCATATTCCTTACATACCAATAGTTTTTTTTATAACTTTTTTATCATTCGACGTACTAAAGGCAGAAGAAGAATCAAAATTTGAAGATATTCAGATTCATATTATTGCATCTTGGTAAATGTAATTTATAATTCTAAAACAAAAAATAAAATTTATTTATAGTAAATTTTTCAGAGGTTATTTGAATGTCGCTGTTAATTTAGAACTTTTTTACTTTATAAGTTGTTAAAATCTTGTTGTTTATTTTAAAAAATCTAATTTCAAGTAAAATTATAATGGAAAAAGAATCGGCATTAGTAAAAATATAAATATAATAAGTGAAATCCTAGAAACCAAAATTGATTTTTTCAAAGAAATGTAGTCTAACCTTCTTTGCTCGTTATCTTCTAGACAGGCATTCCCCTGTAATTAGGTTTCGCTGCATCATCGGAACCTTTGACCCAGGACCTATTTCTTTTCTTTTTTTCTTTTTTTGGTTGTTGCTAGAACGACATTCTTCCGACGACAGATGGATGTTGTCAAAGGTGTTCCTATCCGACCGACAACTGCTTCCACGTCAAAGTTATGTGATGCTTTTTTTCCCCTGTAAGTCTATGAAAAATTACATTTCTAACTAGAAATTAATTTATTAGAATAAAAACTTAGTCCTAATCCTTAAATTTATTTTTGATATTTTTCAAAAAATATTTTTATCCGTATAAATATTTTATAAGATATTGACGAAAGTATGATATCAATACCATTAAAAATGTATTTTACTCAAGATTGATAAATCCCCTTGCTTTGTAAGAAGTTTAAAAAAATTAAATTCAGTTCTTTTCACACAATGACCTGTTTTATTCGACTTTGTACACAAAGAGACTGAATCTCTTGTTCTCTTTCTAATTAATACGTTTTATTCGGCAGTTCTATACTAAAGAAAGGATCTCTAATTCAAACCAATCGATGTCAACTCAGTTTGATTCTACTCAGAATAATTGAAATACTTCTCCTGTGAATTGCCCACAGCACATAGGAGCATTCGTGCGTTATTGCCTTGCATCACTCCGATTCATTGCCGATAGTCGTGACACTTTACAGATCTCCTGTATAAATTTCTCACCATATAATCTTATACACCATTTTATTTATTTATTTAGTTTATTTTTAATTGGGTCGTCTTAATATAAATAAATGCCTATTGTATTTACGTAATAAAGCATGTGTAAATGTTCGTTTATATTCTTTAATCATGCGATAATATAAATATAGCAGTAACAAAATTAAACGATCTCATAAGGATTCACTAGTCGTTTCTTTTATGATGCTTTCAATCATATTAATGAAGTTTTTCCAATTTTCTTAAGTGAATCTATTGAAGATCTCCGAGACAATCGTGCAGCTGAAAAAGCCATTGAAGATATATAAAATTCGATTTATGAAGTAGTTAACATTATCAAAAAAATTGTAAGAAATAAAAAAATAATTTCAATTAAATTAATAAATTCAATATTGAAGCGAAACTTCCTTATGTGAAAGTTTATTAGACATTTAAATATATTAAGTTTTATCTGTTAAAATATTTTAAAAATAGAATGTTTGATTCAAATTTTCCAAACTTCATTAAATTAAACTTATACTGTACAAGAGATAATGTTTCTGAGAAGAATTTACTAGCTGAGCTATTAAAATTAATGTTTCCAGAATTAAACAATTCTTGTTATGAATAAAGTTTAGATTATCTTTCGAAACTCTAATGAAACATAAAAGCTCAGAATTTTATTTCTGTTCGTAGAATTTCAGATAAGAATCGATGGAAAATGTCTTTATTATATGAGCAATTGTCTTTAGGATTGTTTGCAGGTATTACGATTATTACGAGGGTTTATGCTACTATAAAAGGTTCTGTTGTTATGAATTTTTATAACGAGAAGTGTTAAAATGTTTGTAAAAAAATAAGTAGGATATTTTTTTCTATTTTTATTAATATACATATTTTATAAAGTTATAACTCGAAGAGTAATATAATTAAATTATAAATCTCTTCAAAATTGTTTTCATGGTCTGGAATTTTTTTAATAAAAATCTTCAAGAGACGGAAAATCGTGTAAGTCTCGAAAATATTTAATGATATCGCGTTTGGAACGATGTTTTGATGATATTTAGATTATAAAAAATAGTTTAAGTAAGATAAAAATATACTTTTAAGAGATATAATTCATCATAAAAATACTAAATCGTGATCGTTAGAAAACGTTCGGATATATTCAAGACTGATAAAAAATTGAAGAAAATTGTTTCCGGAGAAAGTTCATTTACCATACTGTATATACACTTATTCACTTAAATGAATTCAGGCTGCAGAGGATAATTAAATGTTGACCTTTCAGCATCAAGACAAATTATCTTTGTTAAGTCTAGTCAGCAGAATTATTTTAAGAGAACAAGTAATAATGTTACTTTTCCTTGGGTAATCGTATAAACATAATTATAATATCCTTTTCATATGGTAAACATATTTATGTAATGTTATGCATTAAACGAAATTGAATTTGTAAAGTTCGATAGGAAAAATAAATTTAGTATTTTTATTTCCTCAGGAAATTTAATTAATTCCATCTCGGGAGAGTCGTTTAAAAGAGGATTTAATTTGTGGATGCTTTAAAAGATTACTAAGAATAAAATTTTGTATGTAAATAAAATTTTTCCTACTATTTAGTAGCAAATTATTCGACTTATGTAATGAAGGTTTGTTATAATAATGTATAATTTGTTTGATAATTTATAAATATTTGTCAATGTTTCATTTATTAAATTAAAATAATCAATATATTTTTATGATATCGATTTTAAATTATTTATTATTTATAAATTTATTTTTTAATAAAAAATTATTGATTTAATAGGGCATGAAAACATAAATAAATTGAGGTATCCATAATCAAATTTCTATGCTCGTTATCGTATAGATAATATAATGTAAGCCATA